AAAAAGATGCAGGGTGTATTCCTAAAAAGATAAATGTGCTTTCCTTCTCTACACACCTCTGAATTAACAAGAATTTTTTTCCTGATAACAAGACCATTTATCAAGCTTATACATACAAACACGTGCAGATGCTCCCAATAGGCACAAAGTCTTCCTACACAAGCCAAGATGCGATGCTTCCTTATTCCACTCGCAGGTGTAACACCATCAAGACTGTATCTTGTTGAGCCAAGTTGCTGACCCATCCCCCAGGGACAAGTTGAAACAATTGGCATTAGTCAGGTCTGGGTTCTGGGCAAAATGGGCTTATCTTATACCTATGCTCACCCTAAAAATGATGGCTTTATGGACATAAGAGGCCACGTTCTTTTTCTTCCTATTTAAGATCTAAATCTCATATGGAGGGCAGTACTCTGGAGAGAGAGCACTGTGTTCCATACTTGCCTGATCATCAGTTGCCTGGGCCATTGAAAATTCAGAGTCCCAGGCCACTTTCCAGACCTGCCAAATCAAAATCTCCAGGGCAAGACTTGGACATCTGAATTTTTAACAAATGCCAAGATGGTCTTCGCGATGAGGCATGTTTAGAGAAAGCCAAGATAGAACATAGCTCTTCAGGGTTCTGAAATCAAAGACTTTTCAAGAAGTCCAGAAACAGGGGCATGTTAGTCTTTTCAGGCTGCCATAACAAAATACCGTAAAATGCTGGCTTAAACAACAGAAATTTATTTTATCACAGTTCTGGGGACTGGAAGTCTGAGCTCAGGGTGCCAGCATGGTCAGGTTCTGGTGAGAACTCTCTTCCAGGCTTGCAAACAGGCACCACCTCACTGTGTGTTCACATGACCCCTTTGTGGACATGTGGAGAGAGAGAGAGAGCAAACTCTCTGGATTCTCTTCTTATAAGGACACTAATCCCCTCAGGAAGGCCCCACCCTCATGATCTCATCTAACCCTAATTACCTCCCAAAGGTGCCATCTCCAAATACCATCACAGTGGGGGTCAGGGCTTCAACATGTGAATTTTGGGAGAACACAAACTTTCAGTCCATAGTACGGGGCAATGGGGCTTACTCCCTTCAAAGGGGCAGAGGTTTTTTGTGGAGCTGGATCTTTGCTTGGGGTTTCTGCATCTGACCAATCTATGTAGGACCGTGTTATGAGAGGCATAGGCAGGAGCAAGCTGTGCACCCATTGGTTTTGGCAACTTACAAGGGACAAAACATGAAGACTTAGAAGGGTCAAAGCAGAAACTAACAAAAGAGAGAAATCAATGTCACCACCATTTTGGCTGTTGGTTCAGTTAAGCACTAAATTTAGCTCTGGACCTGCTGATAGCAGATGCATTTTCTCCTTTGGCCTGAGTTAATTGTCTTTCCTATTTCACACATGTTAAATTCCACGTAGAGTTCCAGCTTTTACTTACATCTCTTGAAACAGACTGCTCTTCCCAAACTTATGCCCTTTAAAGATGAGAAAAGTCATTGTTTTTTTTTTCCCCCAGAGCTTAACATTTCATCTCGACGCATTCCGAGCTTATTAGAAAAGCAAAACTAGCAGTACCAGAAATACCCAATGGGGAATCTCTCTCTCTCCGAACATATACTAGAACCTGATAAGAAAAATAACACATTTTGCAAAATGGGCAGTTGGGGTTTCCTGTAGATCAAAAGAGTTTTTTTACTTTTTAATAATTCAGGTAATCCTGGAGATCCAGCCACTTTCCAGATACTGCTCAGCAATGAAGAACTCAGAAAGTCACTGAGTCCCCAATTCCAAATAAGTTATCCAATTAGGTGAGACTTGTTACTCAGTGTCTCTATACCAGCAGGAAGGTGCCCAATGTGGTGGAAATGTCTGGGGTCTTGGGCCCAGCTCTGCCAATAACTAACTGGCTGTGTTCCACTGAGCAATTCTTTTACTCTCTTTGAGCCTGTTTTCGTCATTAATTCAACAACTATTTCTTGAACATCTAAAATGTGCCGAGCATTGTATTCAGCTGAAGGGGACAGCCCTGCCCTCAAGGAGACCACCGTCTAGAGACAAGGGAGCTTTCCATTCTATAATGTAATTGTTAATTTCCTTGTGTGGGTAGTTTAGTGCATAACATAAAAACATGTGAGTATATGAAGGAACAAATGAATGATTGAATGAGTGAAGCACAAAGTTGTTTTCTAACCACTTTATTTTATGCCGTTACCACATGGTCCCCTTTCTCTAATAACCTAGGCCCAAGAGATCCATCTCTGACTTGACCTTCCTTAGGCTTTTATCCTCAGGAAATCCTCATTTGTTGGCTGTAATCTGCTCCCTTCATTCTTCCCTTGACACAGTTACCCAGAATCCACCTCCATCACTCATAATACCCCTGAATATTTTCCTAAACTATAAATTCAACGAACATCCACTGAGCACATTGTATATGGCAATCATTGGGCAAACCAAGATGTTGGAGAACGTAGACTCTGGTCCACATCTGCCGTGTCTGCGGATGGTGCTTACACGTTCCGTTCACTTTTGCCACGCAGTGTATGTGTCCTTCCTTTGACTTGCCGCTACTGAGACACCAGCACAGCCAGAATGGCATCATGAGTTTCCTAGAAGAGTCTTATGTCAGCAAATTCTCCCACCTCTCACCTACTACCTGACGCCAGCCCCCCATACAACAATGTTTAACCCAAATAGCTATTTTTGGTGTAGGAGCAGCTCAAATCTTCCAACCACTAACTAGGCTGTGACTCCCAATGCCGCAGCAAATGCCAGGAGTGCCACTCTCTCATCTCTACCCTCATATTTCCCCTCTGTTATTTGCACAATAATTGACACACCACTCTCTCCAGAAAGTATTGCTTAGAAAATAATGTTTCGAAATAAAACAGCATTTGAATGGCATGTGAAAGTGTAACACCTCTTTTCCATGTTATTTCAGTTAATATCCATGGCAATGCTTGAGGCTCACAGGGGTCAATCACTAGACCACAGGTCATAGAGTCGGTGAAGGGGCAGAGCTGGCAGTTGTGCCCAAGTCTTCTGAGTCGAAAATCCCAGAGCTTGTCCAGAGGCGCCAGATGGTAGCCCATCTCGTCCAGGCCTCACAGTCACAAAAAGCTACAAAGTAAGTCATTAAGTGTTAGCTCCAATAACAAGACACATAAAGTGTGTGAAGCGATGCCTCATCAGGATGAAAAGAAGAAAATGTGCCTTGTACAAGTTTAAATTTGTGTTTTCCTTTTGTAACATGATGTTGGCATTTTGATTTTTCATTATATTGAGAACCTCAAACAATGGAAGTTGCCCAGGCCTCTCTTAAACAACAGACCTCATTTTTATTTACACAACATTGCTAAAAATGTTGCTTACTTGCTGTCACTTTTCCATCTGGAAATAAAATTGGCTGGATTTTCTTTGATTTATACTTCAGTTGTAATATATATATATATATATATCGTCCACCTCACCTCCCTAAAAAAAAAAAAAAAATTTTCCCTGACCTATGCACACCATAAAACCTAGTAAGACCACATGCCCCCTACCTGAGAGGGTCCGCAGCTCACCAGCAGGGGTGCTGTCTGCAAGCTTTTCTCTCTAGAGAACCAGCTGGTCACATGCACGATTCTGTTCTGATAAATTACCTTTCACTAGGGGATGACAGTGGTGGATTCAAATAGCAAAGGGAGCCTCCGGATTATTTAAAATCATCATATCTCTAGGCTTCAATTCTTTCATCCATAAAATGGAGGTAATAACACTCTGTAATAAAAATTAATGGCAAATCATCAAGGGCTTTCCAGAGTTGTAGATAGACTTACAAGATGTTGCAGAGAATGCCAGGCTCTGAGCTTTAATATCTTCCCGGTCCTTAACTGAGCACAACAGCTGCTCATCTGAAAAGAGTCAAGTTTTCTATTCACAGTTGCAATTATAGACCCTCTTAAGCATCTTTTCAGTCGCTCTCCTCACATCATAACTAGGCTGTGTTCATGAGCCTCACCTGCTTTGTCCCCACTGTGGTGGTGAGTGATCTGAAGCCAGAGGCAACCAGATTCCTGGCCCACGTGGGCTGCATCCTCCCTCTGTCCCACACGCTCAGAGCATCCCAGGCATGACAGAATGTTGTCACCGTCCAGCAGTGGGTGGGCTCCAGTAGAGCCATCGCCTAGTTTACCTCTTGTCTTCAGTGCCTGGGGGTGACTGTACATCCTCACGAGCCAATGGTAACTGCCTTCCATTTTGTTTTCCCTGTCCCTATTTATTAGAGCATTTCAGAAAGTTGATGAGGTGACCTATTCTCCAGAAGAGGAAATAATACAAAGCTTAAAAGCTGTTTCTGATAGAATGGTGAAATAATTTCACTACTTTTCTTGGAGGAAAATAAATAAGGCAACCTGAGGCAGCCTCTAGGGATTTCATTATTGCTAGATTGGAGGGAAACATAACGGCTTTAGATGAACGGGTTTTACTTTTAACTTGTTAGAGCACTTTGGGATGAAGAGAGGGGAAAGACAGGTGCTAGACAGTAGAAAAAACCCGGCTCCAGCTTATTTACATTATTTCGTATGGAGATGCATTGATGTATGAAGTATAAATTGACTGTGTTGAATAGTGAAAATAAAGTATTTTGGTAAACAATCTCCGTTCACTACCCAGTCCTAGAATGAGTGAACGTTTTATGAAATACCTCTTGCTTCTTTGTGACGATTACCTCTGGTTTAAGATGTGTGTGCGGTTTTAGGTAAACGCAGTCTCATACGCTGCTATTAAAGTCATTCAGGTCGAGGCGCCATTTCTCCATGATTAAAGACCACGAGGAGGGCTGGGAACGTGTGTGGAGCAAAGAATATAACTAGCCATTTTTGCGGGCCAAATTACCTCCTAAGCGAGGGAGTAGGCGATTTAAATGTAAAAATAACTGTCTCTTTCGCGGCATGCAAATGTTTGTGCTGTGTAAGAAACTAAATCCTGGCTTCCTCTTGGCAAGTATTCCCTAACAGTCCTCGCAGATATCTGAAACCAATTTTAACCCACTCTGGTCCTCCGCTGATCACAACATTACCTGAATGGTGCGGCCCAATTTCCAGACTGCTCACCAGTCCTCAGGCCTATGGGGTGAGTAAATATCCCGAGAGGGACAGGCATGGTGAATATTGATGAGCCCGGGAAACCTCAGAGCTATTTCTTCCCAGCATGAGGAGGAAAAGCATTTTTAAAATTCACGGCACCAAGAATCATCTCTCTTCTCTTTTCAGTTGTTGCTAATGTGGGCTCTTTCTTCTTTTTAAAAATGCAATTTTTTTTTATTGTGACCAATATTTTTAACCATAAAATGAATTTAGAAAATATAAAAGAAGGAATGTGCCCTCACGAAGTGCTGTGTTTTAAGATTTAGAATATTAGGCCTGTGCTTTATAGCTCAAGGGGGTGGAATCAAAAAAGCTGAGAAGCAATTAGAATCCTTATCAGTAAATCAGAGTGTCAGGGATTGGCGAGGAGTAGAATCTTGGAGTTTGTGGCACCCTTGGGGGTTGTCCAGCTGGCTGACCCCTTGTCTAAACAGAGAAAAAGGCGTCTCAGACCTCAGACGTGCTCAGGACACCACAGCCTGAGCCAGTGGTTCTCAAAGTGTGTCCTCAGGCCGGCAGCCTCAGCATCACTTGGAAACTTGTTAGAACTGCAAATTCTCAGGCCCTACATCAGAACTCTGGTCTCAGGAGCCCAGCATCTGTGATTCAACAAGTGATTCCAAGACAGGCCAAAGTTGGAAACCACTGAGCTGAGATCACCTAGCCAGGGTTCATTCTACAGGTAATTTTGTGTGGTTTTCCAAAAACCAATGCAAGAAGAGTTGAGATTTTAATTCTTTTCTTTAAGGGAACCTCTGTCTGAGGAAAACTTTAGTGGCCGGATCTAGTTCACTTCCATCATTATCTGCTATGGTAACTTCCAACCCTTTTTAGCCCTGTGACAGTCATCCCAAGAAACATGCTGTGAGGATATACTTTTCAGAGAAAATATAACAGACATTGAGTTTTAAGAATTTTGTGATAGGCAGGAGTGTTACAAAACCGACATTGAGAATCATTCCGTACTCTGAGGTCACAGGATTCTGCAAACTCCTAACTCCTCTCACCCAGATTAGGTAACCATTCAAAAAATCCACTGCATTTTATTTTAACTTCCTTTACCCACAGAGGCGCTCAATTAGCACATGTTCTCTTACCCACAGAGAGGGAAAACGTGACATCTGCCATACCAGCAACTTCAGCCGAGACAAGACAGGGCAGTTAAAAAAGGAAAACAAACATCCTAGTTTCTGACACTGTAGGACTGCTATTGTTTTCTGCTTTTATCAGGAAGTGACCTCTCTTTCTTTCCAAAACCAGGAACAGCTCAAAGAGGATGATGTAGAATGTATTGTAAACCAGGATGAACTGGCCATGAATTACCAGGAGCAAGCGACCTCACCCTGCAGCCCACCTGCAAGGCCGGGTCTGGACCAGAAAGCTTCACCCCAGACTCCAAGCAAGGAAAACATTTATGAGGGGGACCTTGGCCTAGGAGGCTATGGACTCAAGCTTGAGCAAACTCCGGGTCAATCCCAGCTGAATTAATGGGCATGAACAGCACCGAGGTAATCACAGGTAATGCAGGGATCACTGAGGATCAAGCCAAGCCCATGCGGCTGCTGCGTGGAGGAGACGCTGGAAAGTGTATGAAGAGCATAAATTGGAGAGATTCAAAACCTTGTCACATGTATCCTCTGGTGCCTGCAGAAATGAGAATTTATTATCATCCCTCTATGTTACGCAACTGCATTTAAGTTTTTGACAGCGCCATTTTTATGAATGAACTGGGTGGGGTGGGAAGGGTGCAGAGGGGAGGGAGGGAGGAGTCTAGCTGCTGGGAGGACGAAACAGATGTGCTGTGTCTGCAGGGTGTTTCTCTTCTGTGTGCAGCTCTCTGGGCCCTTCACTCAGATTTGGGATTCTATTCCCTTCATTAAGGAGAGTTTAAAAATCAGAAAACGAGGGCTTTCCTGGTGGCGCGGTGGTTGAGAGTCCGCCTGCCGATGCAGGGGACACGGGTTCGTGCCCCGGTC